TGTTCAAGCCCCTAGGTACCGAATATGTCCTAGTGCCCATGGTTAACTTTTAACCGAAATTATCTTTCAATCTATGAGATATTCAATTGGAATTCGGAGACAATCCTTTCCTGATAGTATTATGTATGTATGTCAAAAATGGGTGAATTAGGTCAATACTTCTCTTAACCTCAATATAACTAATAGAAAAATTTATAAACTTCCGGCTGACTTTATACCGCATATATCGTCCAATATAAGAGTTATATTAATAAAATTGAGCTAGCGTGGTTCCTAATAACGGTGTATCTGTGTGCTTGAAATGAATTAGATCGGGTGAAAACTTGCCCCAGCCCTCATATAACTAATATCAGGATTTTCAAACTTCCGATTGACTATACTCCTTCTATATTGGTGATGGGATGTGAGGTACTTTAATGAAACTCAGAGAGTATTTTTTTCATTATCAATATGTAGTAATGCCAAAAATAGATACTACTCCTATCTACATATGTACATAAAGTGATGTTTGTTTTACAAACCTTATGCCGAATATATCGGTCATTGCTTGAAAATATGTTTTCGTATACTCGATCTATAATGTCAAAGGTTAATGCAATGAGTAAAAATCTTAATGAAACTGCACGTGTTCTCTGGCAAAAAGTGAAGGCAAGTTCGTAGATGGGCGTAATCAGACCACTGCCACGCCCACAAAACGCTATTAATCGAAAATCTATACCTTAAATTGCTGTAATTAAGCCGCAAATTAAGATACAAAACCGTAATTTGGTACAACGAATCGCAATAATACGGGGCACCTGTGGTTTGTAAATTTTTTAAGTGGGCGTGGCCCCGCTTCCCAATAGGTTTAATGTATATATCTATAAGTATTCAAGCTATATCACCTAAATTTCCATAGGACATATCATTTTGACACCTCTTGCGACAGCATTAAAACAGGTGAAATCGGATAATAACCACGCCCACTCTCCATGTAATGTTTTTGTAAAAACCACTTAAACTGCGACAAATCAATATATAAATGCGTCAGAGACGTTAAATTTTACATCCGAGATTACACAAGAGGGCTTTTTAGAAGGAGGTGCAAAATTGAAAAATGGGCGTGGCACCGCCCACATTTATTTGCAATCTCCGAATCTACTCAATCTATTTCAACCAAATTTGGTACATAAGATTATTTTGACATTTCCATGTAACAGTGCGAAGATGGGCGAAATCGGACAGTAACCACGCCTCCTTCCCATATAACACAACTTTAAATTCCATCTTATTTTTTCACTTTCCAGTAAACAACTCAAGCACTAATTAATGTATCGGGATAAGGAGTCAGGTCTAAAATTGTCAAAATCGGACCATAACTACACAGAGCCTATCGCTGACTTTTTGCCGAAAATATCGGTCAATCTGTGAGATATATAATTTAAATTCGGGGATATAGTTTTTCAAAACTGGGTTGAATCGGATCAATAGTTCCCTTAGCACCCATATACCTAATATAATATAAAGATTTTTGAACTTCCAGTTGACTTTATACCAAAATTTGAAAACGGAAACTTGCCTTAGCTCCCATAAAACTCATATTCACGATTTTGAAACATCCGGCTGACTTTACTCCATATAGATTTCAAGAATTAGTGCAATCAGCCCTTCCATTTCTATGCCCCCAATGATTTTAGTATAATTTACCATTCACCATTTCGTCGAGCAATCAAGTTGAACCTTTTCGTTACATTTCCTTATATAAATTTTTGCCAACACCAGGTATTTCCCCGGCTTGATTCCTTGCAAGTTGCAAGAGTAAAAAATGTTCGGTTAGACTCGAACATAGCCCTTCCTTACTTGTTATTGATAATGTTGTCGTGTGGCTACGGAATATATACACATTCATATAAATATATAGAATATATTAGGTCTAGTAAAAAATTCGTTCGGTTTTTTTTTATTGATTTTACATAAGATAATAACTTTGTGTACATTTGTCCGATTTAAGTCAAATATGCGCCGTTTTGTTCGAAAACCAACCGTTTTGCCAACGAGATGCCGACTGCATTGGAGAGCCAATTTTCACAGGCCTCTCTTGAGGCCAACTTCTTACCATTAAGCGCGTTCGCCATGGACAGGAAAAGATGGTAATCACTTGGTGCCAGGTCCGGACTATGTGGGTGCATTAGGACCTAACTTCCGAGCTTCCGGAGCTTCTGGCTCGTCATCAAAGACTTGTGTGGCCTGGCGTTGTCCTGATGGAACACAATTCGGCCTCTGTTGATCAAAGATGGCCTCTTCTGGATGAGTGCTGCCTTCAAGTGGTCCAGTTGTTAGCAGTAGAGGGCTGAATTGAGCGTTTGGCCATAGGGGAGCAGCTCGTAGTAGATGATTCCTTGCCAATCCCACCAAACACACAGCAAAACCTTCCTGGCCGTCAATCCGGTCTTGGCCACTGTCTGGGCCGCTTCTCCGAGCTTTGATCACGACCGTTTGCGCTCGATGTTGTCGTAAGGGACCCATTTTTCATCGCCAGTCACAAACCCCTGCAAAAACGGGTCGATTTTGTTGCGATTCAGCAGCGATTCGCAAATGGAAATTCGATCCATCATGTCTTTAGTTCCTCAGCAATTAAATAAGTGCTCACGTGACGGTCTTTTTCCACTATTTCCATGATTTGATCGCAATTTTAGACGACAGGCCTCCCGACGCGTGGTGCATCTTTGACATCGAAATTACCAGAACGGAACCTAGCAAACCACTTTTGTGCTACACGTTCGTTTACAGAATCCGGCCCATAAACTAAATTAATTTTTTCAGCCGCTTTGGCGGCTTTTTCGCCTTGATCGAAGAAAAATTGTAAAATATAGCGAATTTTCTCTTTGCTGGTGTCCATCTTTGACGAGCGCTCACAACGTACTGAGTCAATCAATCGAAAAACTGGCAAAGACAAACTTTTAGCGCGAATAAACACGTTTTCAGCGCCGTATATAATGACATGATGCGACACGTAATACTAGTACTATGGACAATAACGCCATCTCTTAGATAAAAACCGAACGAAGGTTTTACTTGACCTAATATATATATATATGTAGAATAGATATGGATAGAGGTATGCACCGCGATCTATGATTTATTGTGCCCTCCCCTAAGTACCAATGACTCATCTAGCCCCAGCATATAGATGAACTCCAATATACTGCTAGGTGCTAGTGTAGCGATGTGATCCCTGTTTGGAAACATGGATCCCAGGGCCTTAATTCTGCGTCGGCAGACTGCTGTGCAGTCCACTAGCAGGTTTTCTGGGGTTTCCGGCTCCATGTCACAGAACCGACAGTTTGCAGAAGAGACTAAGCCCATGTTGAATAGATGCTTATGGCCGGTGTAGAACGCGATAAGCAGCCGAAATGTGTTTCTCGGGAAGTTAATTACGGTTAAGATCGTAACCCCCCATCAGCAACCTGGCATGGCGCATGCTTTGGAGTTGTTGCCAATATATTTCCCTGCCTGCTCTTTCCTCTTTACGAAGCAGCTCTTTAATGGTATGTGGACCAACCGCTACGCATGGTTCTGGTCCTACGATTTTTTTGGAGGCTGCAGAGCGGGCCAACTCGTCAGCCAGTTCATTCCCGGCTATACCCATGTGACCAGGCACCCAAATGAGGTGCTCTTTGTTGTGGTTAGATAGTCTGTTCAGCCGTTCTATGCACTCCTGCACTAGTAGCGATCTGAAGTCATAAGCGGAGTTCGTTGGAGGTTTATCTCTACACGCCGACTTATAGCATATACTTCAGCCTGGAAAATGCTAGGAAAACTTCCCATGGAAATGCCAATTTCGAGCCGACGGTGTACCACTTGATAGTACTATCCCTTAGCAGTAAGTCCAGCGTGGAATCGATCCATTTCACCTTACTGCTAAGGGTAACTTTGAACTTCCTAGTGAAGCTTACTACTTTGGTACTTTGGTAATGCTGTCCGTTGGGAGAAGGGCTACTGGCAGTTCGTCACTTAGGACCATTCATTCTATTCTATTCTATATGCAAATATATATGTACATATATGTAATATTTCTTTCTTAAATAAAAATAATTTTGCTAAACATACAATATTTAATAAATTAAACGTTTTGTTAATTTTTATGACTCTAGAAACACACTTTAAATATAAGTTCTTCCCACATTCCCATAGCCAGACAAAAATACTACGACGTTTATGTTCGGTTATGAGGAATTTCACTGTATATATAAATGATCATTGGGTCGAGTTGAGTCTATGTCCATGTCCGATCTAAAATTTTGCGCGAGTCCTTATCACTCCGAGAAGTTGCTCATTTGGCCGAACAGCCAATTTCGGACCACTTTAGCATATAGCTGCAGATTTTTTTTACCTGCCACACTTTTCTTAACGTTTTTCTTGTTTTTAATAAAATTTCAACTAGTACTCAACACTTTTTATCTTATTTATATTATATTAAATTGCTATTAGTTATAATGTTTGAGTTAGAAATATGTATGTAATATATAATATTTATGTTTTTTTGTTGCTCCAATTTTTTAATTCAAAAACCTTTTCTTAATTTTCAATCCAAGATGTTTGCAGTTAAAAATAAATTGTTAAATTTTTATTATTAAATTTTCAAACAATTTTTAATTAAAAAATTCGCGACCATGTTTAGTAGGAATCGAAAATTGGCAAAAAGTTTTATACTGTCACCATATATTCTACAAGAATTTATTAAACTAATTTAAATAGATATTGGCTTGATGATATTCGATTAATATTGTCGAATGTGGTCTATCTGTCAGCATACGTGAAATTTGTTCTAAAGAATTTTGATCAGATCTCCCAAAAAAAGAAATCCAGATTCGTTATTTAAGTGTGAACAAATGACCTTAGAAGTTTATTTATTATAGGCATACGAAAAGACATCACTAATTGTATCCTTATTACAACTATAACAATGAAATGTTGAGTTCCTTCATAATATTTAACATAATTAATGTTTCTTCAAACGATTTTTCACAATATGACAATTTTATTAGAAGCTAATTGTATCAGATATAAAACAATTAATTAAAAAACTAATACAAAACTGCAGTGGATTTCTGTGCCGTTACTAAGCCTAATACACATATTATTTCCGTCTGTGTTTATATTCTAGTCACGCGTACGAAGACCCCACACTGATGTGCGGCGTGTGCCTACTGTCGGTCTAGCCACCGAACTATGTATGAATTTATTAATTCCTATATTGGGAAAGTTTTGCTCCAGCAATTCCATTCCAGTCTCTGAGAGCATACCAAATATGTCGAGATAGGTCAGTGTGGGCAAGTTGTTTAGTTCCCTAAAATAATTGCATTCGTAAGTGTCCGGCATATATTATTATAAACACATGTACTCACATATAAGCAGAGGCAGGAATAAGATAGCATCGCGAAAGTGATAAATATTCAAGCATTTTAAATCTGCAAATAATGTTAATGACATTGCCAGTCAATGCAGTGCAGTCGGAAAAATCGATTTCTAAAAGTTGTGGACATCGTTTAGTTAAGCTCGCCACATCTGCAAAAAAATACCACAAATATTAGACAATATTTTTCAAATTATTAGTCAATTTGCATATTTTATAGCGAAAACTTACGAGAATCATACAATGTTTTACGACAACCTGCCATATTTAATCGCAAGAGATTTGGTGTCACATTTGTCACCACCGATGTAACAGCATCTACAGACAGATTTGTCCACGAAATATTTAAGCTATTTAAATGTTTTAATGATTCCATTATCTTGCGCATACTCCACGCCTCCAATCCAATACACATGGCTAAATTCAGTGCCTCTAAGTTGAGATTCTTTGCTATTTCATTGCAAATTTCATCGTTAATTGGTACATGCTCCAAGCTGAGCTTTTTCAATTGACGACAACGTGATAACAGCATCTTGAGCGAGGGCTTTGCAACAGATACCATACTTAGATCTAAATACTGCAACTTTGATTCGAATTTCGGTTCTGCATGTAGAAAGTCATTATCGAAAACGGGATGACTCAACTGAAAAGGAATAAAAAATGTGTGAATATATTCCGCATATTTTGATGAAATTAAAATGGTTTCTGTACATTTACTTAATACTCACCTCGGCTTGGGCCAAACGTAGTATAACCACACCGCGGGTGAGAATATTTTCCATAGCACCTGCCCGCAAGTGCCGTCCTCCTAAATCCAAACGCGTCCACAGTGATTCATCGCTGGCACATCTATTAAACCGTCGACAAACATAACTGCAACGTATAAGTGCTTTCTTCGGCAGCCATTTGAAAATTTGTAAAATAATCTCATCCGATAGGGTACTAAAATGATCTTTGCCATCGGAAATATGATCCCGCAACTGTTGCTGTCTAAATAAAAAGAAATTATCATATAAAACCATAGGCGGCTGTTGTTCATTTGCCGCTTGCGATGTTCGATTTTGACTTTTATTTTGAATTTGAGTATGCAGTTGTTGTTGTTGCTGCTGCTGCCGCTGTTGATGTCTGAGAAGTGATTGTTTACTTGTTGAAGGCATACTCGCGTAACTATTTGGCGATGACCCACCATTATTATAAACATTTGAAGTATTAATAGTGGCAACAACATTAACACCAATATTCATACTCTGTCAAAATTTATATATATTAAAATAAGTATATTTTTGGTTATTTTTCAACTATTTTCAATAATACCTGTTGCTGTTGAATATGTTGTGTTGCACTTCGAGGGGCACGAATGTTGTTGTTTCCCGACACAATAGCCAAAGGACTACGAGTACTTCTTCCAGCAGAAGGCGAATTCGAATTTGAATTTGTGGTGTACAATTGGGGGGTGATTGCCGTTGTATGTGTTGATGAGCTGCTAACAGGATTTCCCGCACCCATACCAAGTATAGCTACCTTCCTATATGGGACTAATACTTTATCGCCGCATTGTTGTTGCGAATTCTGTTTATTGTTATTATCACCATATGAATCCATTGCGATGTTATTATTGTTGTTGCAATGATGGCTTGTATTAATACAATCGACTTCAATGAGTCCTCTGCCTGGAGTAGCTATTGTTGTATTATCGCTAGTGTCACTATTAAAAGTACTATCTAAGGTGTTATCTAGTGTGCGATAGGATGTGATACGTTGATGGCACATCTTTGGCGCATCCAAATTAGGTGTGGCACCATTAGAATTTTCATCTGCACTGCCGCTCAACACTAATGCTATGGCGGAAGCGGCAGAAGACGAGCTTTCTTCTGAGTCAAGCATTCCAATGCCCATCTCGTGCAAATGTTCACTTGTCAGAGCGGTTGGGGATGAGTTCGACTCAAGTTTAGCGATTTTCCAATTTGTAACTGGGTTAGTTTTAAGGCGTTTTCTGCAAATAATTTTCTCTTTTATTTTTTTTTTACTGCAAACTTATATCTTTCACAAGTTTATTTTTGTCTATTTCAGAAAATTATGTTGAAGCGCGATTATATACATATCAGCAGTTAGTTGGTTAGGGTCACAAACCTCTTATTTAATTAATCAGCAGAAATGATTTGGAAAAATTAGTAAATGCTGGCACTATTTTCTACTTTTTAATGAAATATTACAAGTCAATGGCTTTCGGAAAAGACGGTCTGTGGAAGTTGGTATCACATACGTGACAAACACTTGCAGGATGTATTCTAGGAATCAATTTTACATATTTATTGGGAAATATATTTATTACCAAGAAAATATTTCGCATATAATATAATTTCAGTTTGCATCTGTACAATAATTCACTTATAAACTTAAAAATGCATTTGATATACACCATTTATACAGATACGATAAAATATGAACCGTGTTTTGTTTGACAACAAGTATATTTCATAGATAAGTATATTTGATGGTAAAGTCAGCCACTGAATGTCATTCGGCAGCGATCGTCTATCTTCCGTTTTGCCCTTATTCGTTGACATCAGAGACAGAGAACGTATATTATAAAGAAGGTTCAATTCATTGTATAAATCTACAATGGTTCAATTGCGGACTAGCTTGTGAATTGTCAAAATCTTCCAATATACGATGGGCGGATTTCACCACGAGTGAACAAAGCTTAGCATTGAATAAAAATTATGCTTATAGTACAAACAGTCCGTGGACTGAATCAGCTGATACGACCTATCTTGTGAGAGCGCAATGTAAATAAACATTTACCACCGCTTCTACCGTCCGCTTCAACAGACCGTACGGTAGGATATCCGCGAATATTTAATTTTTCCCGTAGAAACGAGTGGGAGAGCAACCTCTTGAAACACAGGGTTGCCAATCTCGATATTTTGTAGTAATAAAAAAATAAACTTAAATATATATGATATATGGGCGGTAAGTGCGGAAGGGAGGAATGTCGGTGACTGTTTGTGCTATTAGAGACTTGCTTTGATATTACATACTGATATGAACGAATGTTAGCCTTTTGACGTATCATACACATACAATTATGTATATATGTTGTATGTACACGCATTCAAATCAGTGATATAATATTATCACTCATCAGTAATAACATATGCGCGTACTGTTCCATATGTAGATGTGTAGATATGTGTGTATGACATTGCCACACAAATAATACGTACACGTGTAAATATATTAAAACCAAAAACTAAACTTTACAAGTATTGTTCTACAAAAACAACAATCGTCTCAAACAGAATAAGCAGCTTCACAAGACAACATGGCAGCCAAAGCCCAAATTATAGTAAAACACACAACAACCACATTTTAATTCAATATTTATTAAGATTCAATATTATTATACCTGTAACCGTTAAACATATGGAGAAACTATTTAAATTCTTTTCTGTGATTTTGTGATATATTAAAGCAACTGTTTGAATTTTCTATACTTAATAAGGTGAATACATGTATGAGCTCCTAATTATTAAATGCTTTTTTTTATAATTTTCATTGTATTCCAATTTTTGTTAGTTTTCTTCAACAGTGGCAAGAAATCTCTGTTCACATTTTTTTGGTAAAATTTTAATCTGGCCGTCAGTCTTTTCCAACTGCTAAAAGTCAAAAACTATTCATATTTCCAGTGAGAGATGAGAAGGGCATCTCTTTATTTCTGTCCCCGAGCAAGCGTTTGCCTACAAGCGTCTTTTTGCGACGATGGCAAAAGATAAAAATCTTAAATTGAAGAACTTTCTGATGTTCCTTTTGGAGGGGGAAAACTGACAACTCCGCAAACCCGCAAAACACAGAAAAAAGTGACAATTTTGGCAACAAAAAAACTCTTGTCGATTAAAAATTTGTCAATTCTAAAATATTTTTCCGTGGCTCGCAAAAAGTTGTTCATACATAAACCTACATATTTAGGATAATTTGTAGGCAAAGCAGTTAGAGCGGCAAGGGAAGCGACGACAATCGACAATCGTTCGTTTGTTCTTGTCGTCGCGTCAATCTTTCAACACATTTACTCTTTGACATGAAAACAAAAAACGTGAGCTTCGGCCATTGGTTGTCCGTGACAAGGGAGGTTTCGCATGATGAGGCCTTGAACCCAAACACGACTGCACGCTAGAGAAATTTTCTTGTCGTTCTGAAACCATTCACTTCAATGAAATTTAAATATTTTGTTCAAACTGAAATTTTTTTTGCAAAAAATAAGTTTTAAATTATCTATTGGAATTACAAATGATATATCTTAGCTATTTATTGCTTCTGTTGGTAAAATAACGTTAGACTTGTTAGAGTTTTGTATAATTTTATATTTCACATATTAGTGACAACACTACATTTTCGTCGGCAAAATTAGAAATCGTTTTAATTTAGCGACAGCGACAGTGTGTATATTAATATTTAACAGATACTGCCTGTCGATTGTCGTCAGCTGTGTGTTCAGCGATTAAAGCAACGAGTGTATATATTTATACAGGTACGTAGAAAAAATTTACAAACGTTATGCGTTCTTTCATATATGTTTACCTGCACAGTTGTATACGTATGTGCATCCGCTTGGTCTTTTCAGATGTTATCAAAACTTTTATTGACCAAAACAAATAAATACATATGTAAATATATAACTCATCAAACCTATATAAACTGCATATTTAGGTAATAATACAAACGTTACTTTATTATATATTTCAAAAGATTTCATTAAACTCATCATGAAATAGTTCAATTCGTACGTATATACTTATGTACTTTGATATCAAATATATAGAGAATATTTAAGTATAAATTATATGCAGTCGTTTGCGCATTGTAAATAAACGAATATGTAAGCGTTTTTCTCATTTAACACTGAAAATGGTCAATCCTGCTATTTTCGAGTCCGCCGAGGTAAAACTCTGGTGAAACCCGCTAATAATTTTTTGTGGTGAAATCCTCTCCTCGTCCTCGAGTACCCCTCCGAAATCTACGTTCTATGTACTCATAACACACAAATGCATTGTATACAAAATCAAAACACCACACACCCACATTGAGCCTCACAATTTATACGGCGAACTGTGCTTCATACGCACTATTGACCGACACGTTGCCAACAATGTGCGCCAACGCTGTCACTCCTGTCATATAATTGCGCCATTTCTGGGGTAACTTTTTATTTAAACTACACCACCCAATACTAGTACATTTGTTTTATGAATGAGGCTATTAATCAAATATTTTACACATTTTAAGCCAAATTCCTTTTACCTTGATGTCGGACACAAATTCTCAATATTATCTGTCTGTTTCAATTTCTTATTACTCATTGTATAAATAACTTTTCACTTTATTATTTAAAACTTTAATTTTCTTGCTTAATAACACAAAGCGAATTTCGCTGCGAGTAAAAGTTCCACAATCAACAAGTGCAAGATTGCCAACTTTTCTGCATTCCAACCTATAGGGCTTCCAGCACTTTTAATATTTCATGAATTCAGTATGCTCGATGTGGATATCAAGAATGTGTTAGTTGATGTTATAAAAGAGAACGGATAATTATTTTATTTTTATACAATCTTGGATATAGTGTTCAAAAGTTTTGCTGTCATTAATTTGCGAGCAAAAATTTCTCGAATATGTAATTTTACATATATCTTGTAAAATTTGTTGTCGTTTGAAAATATTTAGTTTGATCTTATTTATACAGCGATATCAGCTGCTTCTCAATATTTGTCAAAAAACGCTGGTAATTATATGGTATCACATACTCCTGATAGGTTTGGATTTTAAGACAATTTGCCCTGTATATATATCCATGTTTATTCTGGTAAAACAAATCAAATTGTCGTAGAAAAGGAAAACCCAAACATTTGAAAATTCATGACTGATATATTGTTATGAACAGTAATTTTGACCACGGAAAGGTCAATAACAACGCAGCTTTATTTTATTACGTTCCTTTAACTATGTGCATTTTAGAGACTCTCTGTGCTGTTTATTGTGAATATCTCTTGTGAATGTGGTTGACCGTTTACAAAGAAGGGGCATACAATATTTTCAGCTGCATCCAGATAAATCTCATATTAATGTGTACAGCAATAGAAAAATATATGGAAATGCAGAAAATAAACAAACGTTAATTAAATTATCTAGTAGGTATATTTTTGAGCGATAAGAATCTGCAGTATTACACCGTAATTTATTTCGTGATTGCTTGTAAGTGATCGATATGTTAGTGTACAAGTAGCACTTAAGCGTACGGAAAACGGAAAATTTTTATATATAAACAACTTCTAAAATAAACAGATTTATAAAAAACTACACAAATATGAAGCCGTCCAAACATCGATTGTCCAGCTTGGCAGAAGATATCACGATTCCGGAGGATGCACCGTTTCGTGTTCGCTTGCACTCGCTCTTTGGGCAGATAGAAAAAGAATTCGAAATGTTATACTTGGAAAATTTAAGTTGTATGTATTACAGATTTATTTTAATCGAATAATGTAAGCATAATTAAATCTTGTAAATTAAATAGTGCAAGAGAAACTTGATCACTGCATGAGCAAAGATCTGATTTGCTCATATGAACGCTCAGCTGGAGTAATTGCTGCAGGTGGTAGTGGTACGAACGTTATCGCAGGAAATACATCGAATACGGCACTAACTAGTACGATCCAAACAAATGTTACATCCGCCTTAGGACATGATGATGGAGATACTACCGCACTTGTTTCAATAATTGGTGGTGGCGGAAGTAAGGGTCTGAAAGCGAAATTTACATCTAGCAGTAACAAAGTGAAAGCCAGTAACAAAATTAAGGCGCAAACGAGTCGAATTGTATCAAGTTTCAAGGCACAAACAGTGGTTAGTCAAGTTACGCGAGAATTCTGTGGGCATAAAGATGGAGTTTGGCAAGTGACTGCAAAGGTTGGACAGCCAATTATAGGCACAGCATCAGCAGACCATACCGCGTGCATTTGGGGTATCGAAAATGGTCGATGCCTTCTACAATATCAAGGGCATGCTGGCTCTGTTAATTCTGTAAAGTTTCATCAGAACCGCGACTTGGTGTTAACAGGTAGTGGCGATGGCACAGCACATATTTGGCAAGCAGCTGTTAATTGGGAATCTTCTAAGTAATTCCCAATATATATGCATCAAGTTAAAAACTTCTACAGAGTAACTAATTGTATTCATATTTTAACTACAGAAGAGGCCATTCTTCAGAGGAAGAGCTTGACGACAGTGACGAACAATTGGAAGATCGAGATCGCGTTGACACGCTGCGTACACCTTTGTGCGAATTTACCGGTCTGGGTGGTCATTCATCCGTGGTAGTGGCAGCTGATTGGTTGCCCAGCATGGATCATAGGCAAATAATAACAGGCAGCTGGGATCGCACAGCAATTTTGTGGGACGTAGAATCACGCGAGCCTGTACAGACTCTTACTGGACACGACCATGAATTAACGCACGTATCTGCACATGCTTCGCAACGATTAGTTGTTACAGCATCTCGCGACTCAACTTTCCGTCTTTGGGATTTTCGCTATGAAATTCCCGCCGTATCGGTATTTCAGGGACACTCGGAGTAAGTAAAACTGCATGAAAGTAATAGTAAATTTATTACATTCAATTTACATATATTGTTAGAAGTGTAACGTCCACTGTGTTTGCGCGCGATGATAAAGTAGTGTCTGGATCGGATGATCGAACAGTAAAAGTTTGGGAATTACGAAATATGCGCTCTGCTCTGGCGACTATACGAACAGATTCCTCAGTTAATCGTTTGGCTGTCTCAAGCGTCGGAATTATTGCCATACCACACGACAATAGGCAAATACGTTTATTCGATTTGAATGGACAACGTGTGGCGCGATTACCACGAACCAGCCGACAGGTTTGCATTTAAATATATTTTTTTATATAAGAAATCATTTGAAAACATATATTTTCATAGGGTCATCGTCGTATGGTGTCTTCTGTTGCTTGGGCTGAAGATCCATTATTCAATTGTGATTTATTTTCATGTGGCTTTGATAGGCGCGTGTTCGGCTGGTCCATAATTTTACCGAAAGAAAATTGAAAGTCACTAAAAGTTTAACCCATTATTTATTACGAATTTCCAACTCATTTTAAAATTGTACAATAGCTACGGTTATTGCGTGGAAGAAAAAGAATTTATTTATTTAATCTTTATGTAGATGAACATCCGTAGATGTAATTGCTGTGAAGATAAGTAGGACTGTCATAAAGATTTATTCTAACTGTTCTAATTATCAACAGCATTAAAATGTCAGACAATATAGACTATGCACTTATTTGATTATTAATTCTAACAATTAGTCTCAGTTAATATTTAAATTGCCGAAATTAATTTTTTGATAGTATTTTAATTTTTAAATTACACTAAAGTTTGGTATGTATTAAAATGAATATAAAAATTGTGAATATATCTATTGGTCCCATTTTTATGCAATGGTATGTTTATAATATATATAATATATTTTAAAGCATTTGTTTGATATATTTAAAGAACATATACATCCATATTAGCATTTTCTCCAAATGCCAAGCTGGTTTACCCTATCAAATTAATAATCAAATTTTAGGAACATAAACAGTTGGAGCCAACTGCTTCAATATAAATTATCTATACAAAGGCATACAAAATATGTCGAATATTACGTTTATCATTTATTTTGTACATACTACAAATATACATAACTGCACACATACAAATGCAAATGTCATTTATTAAATACTTCTTTTTCGATATGAATATACAACCATAAATGTTTACTTCTGGATGTGTATTGATTACTAGTAGTTCTTAACGTAAACGCACCCGGAAATATTTGTTTAGCTTATGTTCTAGGAAAATTGTTATTTACATAAATATCAAATAAAACAAGAATTGTATGTAATTAATTGAAAGATTTCCAGTAAAGTTTAGTTAATTTTATGCTGTATTTTTTTGCTTTGTGCCAAAGTCACAAAAAAATTACCAAATATTTGTAGAGATTAAAATTACGCCAAGTTTAGTCCTCGGGATATATCGATAATATACGTCATCGTTGTAGTTGTTCTAAAACCTCAACATGCTGTTTGCGATAGATGTCTGAGTCATCCCCGTTCCGTGCTCTCAAGTGGCTTGGGGAAAAATGATCTGTGGTTTCTCTTACACGAGTATTCAATTAATTTTAATTATTAATATAAAATTAAAAATGTACAAATTTGAGCACTATCACCCCGGCTAATATACACATTTCTAAAATTATGATGATAACTAAAATTAATTTATTATAAAGCACTTCACGACGCAGTTTTCTTATAACGCTTCCTGACTGCACAATATCTGCGTCTGCGTCTTGCAGTCGTCGTGTAGAACGCAGTAAAGATTCTCGTTGTTCATTTAACTCGGATAATACCTAGATTTAAGAAAATAAAATGCATTTTAATTACAATAATTTCCTTTTAAATTTCTGCTGACTTCAGTGCCTATCTGTTCAGTTTCGATTGCAACTTGATTGGATCGTTGTATGCTGGCAGAGCTTCGCTCAAGGATATCATAACTATTTGCCACTAAATGAGACTGTGCAGTATTTTGTTGCTCTGTAGACTTTTGCCAATCGTACGGACCCGACATTTTTAATAGTGTTCTTCGAATTAACAAATCACGACTTATTTTTCAACAAAATGATTTGCACTTGATAATAAAAATAATCAGCTGTTGTATTGTTTTGAACTCAATATGATAGTATTACCAGATAGTGAAGATTAGTTATCTTCACATAATTTAGTTTTGGTTAATTTGTTTACTTATTTTTATTTCAAACTTTTTTTACAGTTGTTTGTTAAATAAAATAAAAGGAATGTCGCTGGAACCATTGTTTCTACAAATAGTACATTTTATTTAATTACCATTATTGATAAATTTATAGGAATACAACCCTTCAATTCTTAACCCTTGCCACGGCAGCACGAACAATAGAAAATCAGTGGCAAGTAAACAAAAATAATTCTTGACACATTTACATTTTTATATTTATGAATAAGTAAAATTGTTATTTTTTATATAAAAAAAAACAATCAGATATTGGCAATAACAAAAAGTCATTCAATAGAAATCACAATGCGAAAAACTTGGGTAAAACGTGAAAATATTTATTATAAACCATTCTATAAGCAAAAGTCCAAGATGTTCTTATTAGGAGTATTCCTATTAGGCATAGTGTTTATAATCTATCAAGCTTTTTCCATAAATCAATTGCATAGTGCAAGTACACCATGGAGCTTAGAAGGTACCATGAATGGACTTCGAAAGAAACATTTGGAAGTGATAAAATCTCTTGGACGAAAACAGAGTGATGACTACGATGAAGGCGGAGGAGGCGGACACGTAGTTGCGGCATTAGAAATTAATCCTGCGGAAGAATCTATTAAAATTATACGGTGAATTTATACATAATTGAAAATTTCTTTTGCTCATGATCTTTGTTTTAATAGCGGAATTCGTCTGTTCGATTATGATTCGTATAAACCAAACTTTGATGGCAAGTTTCGCTGTTTGGACGGTAGTAAAGAAGTGTTATTTGAACGTGTCAATGATGATTTTTGCGACTGTCTTTTCGATGGAAGTGATGAGCCCAGCACAAACGCTTGTCAAAAAGGGCGTTTTTATTGTAAATACCAGAAAAGACACATCACGGGGCGCGGCGTAGATGTATTTATACACAGTAGTCGTGTCAATGATGGCATCTGCGATTGCTGCGATGGCAGCGATGAATGGTTGACGATTAGCTGTACAAATAAATGCACACAGTAAATATATACATCGTGTTTGTAATACACCATAATTTGTAATCAGTTATTTAGTTTTAAAAGCAATACTCTTAAAAAAGGTAAAAATGCTATTGTCAGTTAGGGTAATTAATGTAGGTTTACTTTAAAATAAATAGGATTTTCAATCGAATATGTTAAATGATGCTGTGCATTAAAAAATCGCCTTATAAGTCTGTCTAATTTGCATTTGTGAATAAATTAGCTTCTATACTCAAAGAAAAAAATTAATTCATAAAATGTATATTAAAATATTTCAATTATTAAATACTAGGGGATTGATTATGTATGATTATATTTTTTAATGATAATAAATTTTATAACTAATTTATTCAAATATTCAATATAGAAGGCATTTTTCTTTGGTGTAGCTGGGTATATGTATTGTTACCATCAAAAAAATATTAATACTTACGTGCATTTCTAGTTAACTTTGTATAAAATTTAACGAAAACCACCATTTTACGCTAATAAGTTATATTTGAAATATACGAGGAATATTTCCAAACAAAAATTATAGATAGCTTAATATATTTTCATCAGTTGACATTTATAAATTATATTTTTACTTTGCTTTCATTTATTTTCTCCTCAATATAATTTTTATATTTTCTTAGGAGTTATTAATCTCAAGAAGGGCTTACGACGATAATAAATTTTTCATTTACATATTGGTTGAATACAACAACAAAAGCATAGAGCCCATTTTGAAATTATGTCGACTAATATATAATATCTGTTTTTAACATTTGATTTAAATTTTTTAAGAGAAATTGTCATTTCACATACATTTAACATCAAGTATCACTAAATATATGTATACTTGAAATTTTGTAAATGTTTTCAGATGTATTTTCAATGTGCCAAATATATACAAATAAAAGTATTTTCTCACTTACGAATAATTTTTAAAAGAAATACATAAATATAGACAACAATGGCTTGGACTTGGTTCCTTTAGTATTTTAAATATGGCAATTTTGAACTGCAAATTCGAAAAGGTACATTTTTCATGAAAGTAAACTTCCTAATGTATAATTCATTAGCATTTATGATAAAGTTTTATTTATATTAATAATCTCTTTTTAAATTAGAGTGATATTTCTATGCTTTTTATGGCATAATTTTACGAGTGCGTATTTCAAACTGTTTTTCATCGTTTAAAGTGACAAGTGAAGTGAAGTGTGTTAAACCGAAATTGGGAAATATTAACGGGTTTATATTTATAAATAATTTATGGTTGAATGAATTATGTCCGGGCCACTTTTTCCACTATTAATATGAATAAAATAAATTCTGGAGAAATTGAACCAGTACCTTCCACAAATAGAAAATTCCAAAAAAAATCTGAATTTTAGCCAAGTGTTTGATCATACAAACCACCATTTAAAAAAACAAGTTCGAAAAATAAAACTGTAGAAACATTAATAAAAGCGAAGAAAATCACTCAATCTCGAGTAACTATTCCCACGACAGTCGGGTCTGCCTAATCGGAACGGACCGAGATTTCAACCAACTCGTAAGCATACCTCTAAATTATTTTTTAATATTCGTACAAAACAAGGATAGTAAAGTTGAACGACGGCAACCATTGAACAAGGTGGTTGGTAGGTATGGTACATGGTGGATGCTCTGAAGAATCGCTGTCGCTGTTTCCAAATCAGAGCCAAAGAGCAATTGCACCACTAATGTGTGATGGATTGTCGGAAGTGCAATTGTGTTCATTGACATTTAATACAAAACAAATATTTTTGTTAATATTTCACAAACTCGTTTCTTATCACATTAAGATGTAGGCCTGTTCCGATATACATTGGTAGATGCGCGACCGCATTTATATTAATGTATGCAAAGCTTTGTTGAAATTATAATTTTTTTGCCGAAATAACCGTAAAATTATAAAGGTAACAGTAAATGAATTGATCATCCAATGGTAGCTCTTGGTAAAAATGATTTTTAAATTGGGTTGCTTTGCAACAGGTATACATATGTATTTATGTAGATGCATGAAAATGAATTTGTAAAATTCGTCTGTTATTTTGGCAAGAGCAAACTTTTACAATAATTTGCAAATCACGTTCTTATATGAGACACTTACTATAAAGTGTTGCTCTTAATTCTCATTAAAGCTATCTGCTACTTACACATAATTATTTATTTTTAGGTTATGTGCGAAATCACATTTTTAAGAAAATATTTATACTGCGAATTAGTTGAATGAGTTACTTTATCTTCTGAGATATCAAGTGCAAAAAGCATTATATAAAATTTTTTCTTTGTCAATTTTGGTGTTTTCTTAAGTATGATTGCACCAATGCAAGGGAATTCAAAAGTGATTTTTATGTTTTTTTGATAATGATAATATTGTAAGGTCCGACTCATGTCTGTACGGTCTCCTATAATAGGCTAAACTATTTAATTTATATTTTTTACTTTATGCAAAAAAGAACAATATGCATAAATATAAAAGAATATATTTTATTATATAAAAATAATACTTTAATGTGGGACAAATGTTAAACAAAGTATGTTGAGTGAATCAATACAAATTGTATATAAAGTTAATGTACGGATAAATTTAAAATTTAAACGGAATTTGTTTATGCGGAGGACTTACTTTTCGTTACCGAACAAAGATGCTAGAAATTATGCAAGCATACCACAAATCTGAAGAAAGCAGTGTTAAGCTTTATATACTTGAAATATGCGAATCAAATATTTTTTTATTGGAAAGACTCGGAAATAGTTAGAATTTGTTAAAAGCAATTACTTACAATGTATTCTTAAAGTTTATATGTTTTGTGCATTTCGTCGACATAATATTTGTAAGACCTGCTTATTATTTAACTAAACTGTGAAACTGTTTTTTGACATGCAGAGCAAGCGCTTCATGTATTACACAACTACCACAACGTTATATAGTAATATAAACTTTGACTGTAAATATGCGGTAGTTATGTTCGAGATATTCTCGTAAACAAAAATATCTTTACAATTACTTCGAAATGCGGTTATCATAAAGGGTTAGGAGTAGCCAGAATTAAAGAAAAATTCTTTTAAAGTAGAATGCCTTAGAAACACTCTCTGAAGTTTTGAAGCAAATCTGACAAATACTTTTCGAGTTATTCGATAATTAGTAAATGGTTCTCGGGCGCTCTGAAACGTTCTAGATCAGGTGGCTAAAACTTCAAATACGTTTTTCTCAAAACTACATATGTTTTTTTTTTAACTGGTGACCACTGTAGCTCGAAAACCAATTTTTGTAAACATTTAACTGCAGGTTTTATCCTGAAAGTGTATTAAAAAAAAATTTTCCGAGGCAGCTATTTTGTTAATTAAAAAAAAAAGCTTCGGCAAGGAACTAGATTATCTGTTCCTAAAACTAATTTTTTTTGGCCGATTGATGTTTGATGAACTCTAAGGCTTAGTGATAGCCTCCGCAAGGAGCTTCGGTTGAAACTGAAACAAAACAAACAGCCATTATATTTATATTATTTTTTTTCGAATTTTTGTGATGCTATGTTTTACTTTTATAAAATAAAATAATTGCCTGGTAAAAAAAAAAATATTTAAAATTGTTGTTTTTTCGTGTCTTTGACCTCACCTAACCCCGTAATTGTTTATAATTTGAGCAAATAATATTATTGTTTGCAGTAATTGTATATGGTTGTGTGTTTGAACATAATATTACCATTTTAATATATTTTGTCTGTGTTGCATTTAAATAAAAATATATTTATATATATTTTTGTTTTTTAGCAAGAAATTTTTGTTTACGAATTTGTTGATAAGTAAGTAATCTTAGAAGAATGTATTTTAATTAAGAGATGAATAAATAATAGAAAACTAAAACCAATATATATGTAAATGTCTAAAGAAATTGCACTGGTTAATTGTGATTAATGTGTATAAAAAAATTTATCTGTGACAGATTTATCAAAATTATAAAAATGTATGGATTTGAATTAAATATACATAGCAACCTACCTAAAATAGAACTAACGCTTAAATTTAGTGCACCAAATTCTCTTTGACAGCAATACTTAAATTAAATGTAGCCTAATATTAAAAATTCATGTAAACCATATTCTTGATCCTTTCCCACGGCAAGGTCATTGGTCTCAGTGGGAGAAAGAATTGTACAACATTTAAATTGTTTATGAATGTGTTCATAGCACTTATGTCTAGCAGTGAATATAAGCCAAGTTAAACTATTCAGTTGACATACTTTTTACATACACATTCATTCTTTCGAATTTTTTGTATTATTATGCTTTTAGATTATATGAATCGCTAATGAAATAAACTTTTCTTAACGTACTAAATTACAACACAAAACTAATTGATAAATAATAATTTAGCAGAACACGAAGGACACATTTCATTTCAATGTTAAGAGCGTACGATTCCTTAGTGTCCGGTACATTTAACGACAAGTCTGGTGATGCAGAAGTCTACCTTTTGCACGCGAATAATGGTGAATTTTAGTTGGTTGCCCTCTGTGTTGGTGCTGACGTTGGTTGGGTCTTGGTCGAACTTTTTGCAAATTTAGCGCTTTTTGGCGTTGACGATTATGTATAGCTGCTGTTGTGGTTGTAGCTGTAGCTGGTATGATTGTGTTTTGTGGAAAATGTCGCGTATAATTATTTACAATTGATGTGGTTGCTATGTCGAGAAATGTGAAATTTGATGGTGCAGCGACTACGGGTTGATGTTGTTGCGGGTGCTGCTGTTGCTGTTGCAGTAATGTTTGTTGTGGTTGTGGCGATACATGCATTACTTTCTTTGCCGTCATTGCCGATGTGCTGCTGATCGGTGCTGCTGTCGCTGCTACCCTACGCAAATGTAAACGGCCAACATTGCGACGACGATGGTGTCACTTCGCTCCACTATTGCTTGCCTTGCCCAACTCTGAACGATTTGAATTGTTATGTTGTGTTTGTTGTTGTTGTAATTGTTCATTAATTTGAATGTTACTAGAAGATTGTTGCAGCGGTTGTAGAGCCGATGCTTGTTGTTGCTGCTGCTGTGTTGTTTGCTGTTGTTGTTGCATTTGTAATTGCTGTTGCTGATTTAGCGTATGTATGTGCTGGCAAAAAGCCTGTAACACCTCAAAATGTGTCATTAAATTCGCTGTTTGACTGTCATAGTGCAGATGACGTGTGATTGGTGCCCCCAGGCGTCGAAGCATGTCTGTGAAAATTTTCTCCTCCTTTCGTATCCATGGTCGGCGATCATCCTGCACTTGATATGGTGTCAGATGTACATGAATATTCATGCCTATGTGTGTGTGGTAAAAATAATATAATTAGAGAAAACAATTCATTTGTATTGATTTAAAAGTACCCATTCTTGTTAGTGTTTCCAGCAGACTTCTGGACGTAATCCATGTGTTCTTTTGGCCACCGTGACCACCATCTAGCCAATACATATCTTTGATGCGTGAAAGCAAACGTATCATTGTACTATCATCCGGTGTAAGAGTTTTTAAGTAGTGAAATTCATAAATGAACTGCAATAATAAAGGCGTAGCTATACTGTACTCATACTTGGAAGTTTATGGAATATTATGCAAGATAATGGTTATGCCTCTAAAAATACGTAATATTATATATATATAAGAACGTTTACTTCAGTTGCACCGAACCTATGATACTCTTCACAAATCAAAAAGCTTCAAAACAAGAACTTGATTTTCATCGTTTGAAAAATTTATTCGGATATTGTATCGTTGACTTGGGCAATACTCATACCGAATATAAATATCTTGTCAAATAAAAAATTTTTGCATACAAAAACTTGATTTTGATCTTTCAGTTTGCATGGCAGCTATATGCTTTAGTGGTCCGATCTGAAAAATTTATTCGAATAATGTAGCATGGCTTTGGGCAGTAATCATGCGATATCTTGCCAAATAAAAAAGTTTCCCATAAAAGGATATGGTTTTGATAGTTCAGGTTCTATGGTAGTTATATGCTATAGTGGTCCGATATCGGCGGCTCCGACAAATGAGCAGCTTTTTAGGGGCAAAAGGACGAGATTTCAGATCGATATCTTAAACACTAAGGGACTAGTTCGTGTATATACAGGCAGACAAACGGGCAAGGCATAAAACACTCCTCTCCAAGCAGTTTCTTCTGGGAGGTTTTCTCGGAAACCATCCCTGCTGTCGTCTGCTTAAAGCAGAGCCGCTTCCTAGGAACATTAAGAAGTCTTTCCTTGACTACGTCGATGACTTCGAACAGTATGCCGACCAGAATTCGGACGCAACAAACTTCAGACACGCAGTGATCGCCATTCATAGTGATTCCCTCTCAGTGAACGGCGTACTTGGAGTCAAACCACTATCCATTGCAGACGAGGAGCTCGTGTTGCCCCGAGAATCAAGAGAGACCCTTGTGTAAATCGTTCTGAATATTGTAGTTGGTTAAACTCCTACTTATCCAGAATCGACCGCGACATACCAAATATATGTCTAGCCTGCAATGAGTCCTCGCATAACTCTTATCACCTCTTTACATGTCCAGCGAAACCCACTCATCTAACACCCCTCTTCCTATGGTTCGACCCCATCGAAACAACATGCTTTCTTGGCCTACCGTTAGATGACTTCGATGACAACCAACCTGAATTTTACCACCCAAGCAGGGACTAGACAACCGTTACCACAACAACTAAATCAACTGAGCTCATTTATATATATATATGTATATATCTTATAGGGTCTCCGATGTTTAATTCTGGTCGTTGCAAATTTCGTGGTAAACTAATATACCAGGGTATAAAAATGATATAATCTTTATTCAACATAATTATTTTAAAGCAGTACTTTTAAAGGCATTACTTGCAAGTGTGAAAGGGAATGTATTTTCAGATTTTTACACCAAATGTGACTCACTTGATTGAGGACCACACATCCTTTGCTGAAGCCAATTAAAACCAGTTTCGCTTTGTCTAAATTCAAATTCTCTCTCCACCACAAAGGATTGCTATTTTGACGGGTGAGTTGTTGGGATTGTTGTTGTGCTTGTGTTACACACTCGTTACTGTTGCTACTACCACCCCCAATATTATTGAAATGTGCGTTATTTGTTTGCGCTTGATGAGCGGTAGGTTGTAGAGGAGCCTTTTGAGTGCTATGTGGTGTTGTGGCCGTTGATGCTATGTTACTGTTAGCAGCATTATTTGTCGATGGGGTAACGCCACCAGTGATAGTATTACTGCCGCTACTAACTCCACCACCAGTACCAGCACTGGTGACATTTGGAAATATTACTGCACCATCTGCATCCACAGTTACGTTCTCCTGAACTTGTAAGATATCAATGTCCATGTCTTGATTATTATCATTTAATGCTGACGAAGAAGCGGACGTGTCAGTCGTTGCTGTGGAAAGTGTAGAGGATACCAATGCGGCGGCGGCAGCCACAGCAGCAGCAGCGGCGGCTGCTTGAGCAGCCTGATCCATTATCTCGTTTTCTGGTATAGAGATCAGTCGTTGAGAAAGATTTTGAAGTAATCTGTAATAATAAAAATAAAAAATAAAATTTTAATGGCGTACCATTGTTAGGTCTATATTTAGTGGCTACTTACTTTTCCAAATGTTGTAAAGCGTGGTTCATTGGAGTATGGTCGGGGACACCAGCGTTATTACCACGTACGAAATTGTCGAAACAACTAAATGTTTTGAACTCCATTCTGTGTTTACAATTGAAAACATAAATATTTTAATTATGTTATCATAATAATAAAAGCAAATATACTATCAAATAAAGGTTCGCTGTTTACCTTACAGGACGGATGACAATAATATGTGCGCGCGGAAAAGCCTCACGTAGAAGTATGGCGGAGTTCTCCAAATTGTATTTCATGTAGCCACGACTATCTCGATTCGTTTCCATGCTCTCCGGAAAGTCCTAAAACAAGAAGAACAATCATTTAACGACATATGTACGAATAATCATAATTAAAATAAAACAAGAAAAAACGTTAACTTCGGTTGCACTGAAGCTATAATACCCTTAACATATACAAAGGTTCCTTACAAGAACTTGATTCCGATTTAATTTCGTGAAGATACATCGTTAACTAAAAAAGTTTTCCATACAAGCAGTTTATTCCAATCGTTCTGTTAATATGGCAGTTATATGCTACAGTCATCCGATCTAAACAATTTCTTCGAAGATTACGTTGTTGTCTTAGACAATAATCCATGCCAAATTTTGTGAAGATACCATGTCAAATGAAAGAGTTTTCCATACAAGCACTTGATTCCTACTGTTCAGTTAGTATGGCAGCTATATGCTATAGCCGTTCCGACAAATGAGCAGCTTCTTAGTTAGGAAAGGACAGTTGCAAAATTTCAGATCGATAGCTTAAAAACTAAGGGATTAGTTCGTATATATACAGACAGACAGACGGACGTGGCTAAATCAACTCAGCTCATCATGTTCAGGTTATAACAATTAAGAGGATTTCATGTTTTACTTCGCATCAGGGTAATGCGGTTATTAATGGGTTCATATGCATATAAATGTTTGCCAAAAAGAAAATGTAAATAAAAGTTTTAAGCTCATTTTAACGCTTGTCGTAATTAAGAGTTATTGTTTGTAACATACCTTCAATCAATTTTTTGCTCTATTCACTTACCGATTTAAATAATTATTATTCTTTTTGTTATAATATAATACTTGTATGTCATTAATTTGTTATATAGTTTATTGTAAAGACGAACATACCTGTACGTCGCCACCGAAGTAAACAACGGCAGTGGAATCTTCAGCATTCTCGCTGCCTGTCGGCCGTATCGGTGGACAATAGACAATATCATTTGCCCGGTTTTGGAAGCCAGTCACGGCAAAAATACGAAATGGGCCAGCTGATGTGCTCGGTGTGCATAGACGATCCGTACTGCCGCCTAGCATTACCCCGAAATTTGTGACCCTTTTTTGTAGTTTCAAAAAATGTTCAATGATTGCCTGCAAAAACAATATCATTAGAATTATCGAATAAAGCTTTCATTGACATAACCAAATGTTGAGCCTTGAAGTGTTTTTTGTCATGGTTTTCAAAATATTTAAAATATAATAATTTGACCCTTGTGTGTATCGGTATATTTATAGTAATTGTTAGTACTAAACCTATACCAAAACATAGTTTGTGTATTTCCATACAAATATAGCTCATTTATGTATTGTACATATACAATATTTAGAATTATGTTTCTTTTTTCGTGTTAAGTTACAGTCTATTTAAAAAATGTCTATACGGAAATATATACATTTGAAAAATTTTGATACGGAATTTGAATTTTTTTACCGAACCATTATGAATAAATAATTCCTCCTCCCAGCTCCTCTTTTCTTGGATGTACGCCACTAAATATATGGTTTTTGTTGTTTTTTTATAAAAAAAAAAAAAATCAAACGGTTTTGAAAGCTCATTCGTATACCCCACTCACTTAGTAATTACCCGAAAATGTAAATATTTATTTTTATGAACACAATTAATTTAATTTTTTGTTAGTCTTGTCTTTGACCACTTAAGCACCTTCGTTGTTGATAAAATAATAGCTAAACATAATTAAGCTCACACACTCGAGATAGGCACGCCGATATCACACTCACTCACTAAACACTCTGTATCAATGTTGAAAATAATGTACATATTTAGGCAAATGTCTTGAAAGTTATTTAGTAGTAGTCTTCGTCATAGTATTCTCGTGTTCCACAACATCCCAAAAATCGCGCACGTGTATCCTCTAAACACAGTTTCGTATCCTCTTTTATCTCTCTTATTTTCATGCGTACCGCCTCCCTCATCAAATTGTAGCACATGGAAACCAAACCCATGCCTATTAGCATATAGAAAAAATTTATAGCCAATTTTGAATTTTGATCAGTAATTAACTGCATATTGAACAAATCATCGGGATCAGCAGAGGCATCTTCTCTTATTTTTAGTGATGCTGCATCTATGTCAGCCGCTGTTATCAACGATGCACCAGGCACGAAATCACCAAAACCAATTTTGCACAACGATGTCATGCAGAAGTAGAAAGAGTTCAAAAAAGACCATTTCTCCCAATTCGCAAACATAATAGTGCCCGTTAAAATATATGATATGATAACCCAAAGGCACGCAGTCGATGGTACAATGATTTTTTTCCCTTGTAATTCACCTAAACTACCGTTTTCTAGTGCATCCAAACGAGATTCATAAATGGTACGTTCCTGCGCACACTCATGTAAGCTGCGATAAAGGAACTTGAATGATCGCGCCAACACTTTTCCCATATTAAGGAAATATAGTATATAAAGGGGTATACCAAAAGTGGCATAAATGACCGTGAAACCTTTCCCCCAAGGTGTACGTGGCACCATATTACCATAACCGATCATTGTAATGACCGATAAACAAAACATTAACGCCGCCGGAAAGGACCAAATCTGTTCTGGTGTCCGTCCAACATAGCCATTTTTTATTAATGTGGCAATTTCTGTTTGATATTGTCGCAGTATATCTAAGGTATTATTTTGCCATTCGCTACGATCAAAAGTATTAAACTTTTCAGTGATATTCCACATTTTTTCTGCGCAATTATGCCGTAAATCACTGACATAGGCTGTCGTCTCGTCAACGTATTCTCGTTCTATATGCATAAAGGAGAGCGCACCAAAGATAGCGTACAGTACAATTAATGCGCCCACACCCACTTGCGTGCACATAAATGTAACGAAATTGCGACAACATCGTTTGACACGCTTTCGCGGTGGGTTGCTGAGAGAGGAGGACGAGTTCGAGGATCCGGCGCGGCTGTTGTGTCGCGAACTTCGCATAGATTTCGACATTTTCGATTTCGTAAACAAACGTCAGAAGGTTCAATGTAGTCATCCACTTGATTTAATTCGCCATTATATAATTAGCCCCAGCGGCGCATGTTCATGGCGATAGCACGATTTTATATTCCTTCAAATACGTCAATTAATAAACTGTCAGTATTAAATTTACATATACTAGTGCTTCATCACAGTCTCAATATATTTTCCATAAATTAAAGAAGCACTAAAAATAGATTTAAGCGCGACGCGTTGCATATTAAATTTAACGAAATATACGCTTGAACGCACATCAAACTGTCCTGGTCTGATCGATCTCGTATACCGAACGCAACTAAAGGCAAATGTATTCAAATACATTTTCCAATGTCCAGCAACGCTCAGTCATTGAAACTTTCTCTCTCGTTGCATATTATACATATAAAAAATACAATACTTGCGTTTGTTCTTAACATTCATGTGCTTACAAAATAAGATTTTTGTTTACACATTGATCCAAACTTGCTCCCATTGCTAATAATTTTGTGGGGAAACTATTGCATTTCGTGCATGGCTGCAAGGTTTATAAAACTAATAATCTATGATTGAGAGTTTTCAAGACTCTATTTTCTTATTGCATCAAAAAGACTGTATCTCTACAATATTTAGAATATATCTTATGGATATATATATATATATATATATTTGTATGTATATTCTTATATACAACAAAATTTTGTATGAAATAATAAGAATAATAAATACCCTGCTACTTTGTGAAGCATTTACCGCAGTGTTTAACTGACACATATGTATTTCTGCTAATTGTGCCGCTTAAGTTGAGTTAGGGCACAATTGACTTGTTGCTCGCTTAAATTTCATATTGAAATTCAACTAGCATCTTAACTTAGTGATCCTTTAAATTGTTTACCATTATATTTATTATATTTTCATACTATATTCCGTAGGTAGGTGTATATATACATAAATGTCATTTCACGTGGCCTTGAAGCATACTTAAAAGGATCTCAATTTATTCTGGATCATATGTAAATAGTGAGGTACAATAGATGCATACATAACAATATATTGACATTAAAATACTGAACAAATTTTTATTGTGCAGATCCTTTTTCTCGTTCAGCTTTGCTAGTTCTCGGACACCCTTGTTATTGCTTACTATAAAAAATAGGAGTGTTAAGACATTTCCTTTCTAAAATAATCTTTAACCTAAAAAATATTCGCAAAATTAGAAAAGTAAGTCTAGCAGCAGAATTAGTTATTGTTAATTTAATATTGGATTTTTCTTTAGTTGGTAGAGGAAAGCATTCTACAGACGTAAAGTGGGAAATGATAAAAAGAATTTAGAAAACTAGGAAAATGTTTTACGAGATCGAAGAAATCGAATAAATTTTGCTCAAATATAGCAAACCTTTAATTGTTGGAATAAAAAATAAACAAACGGACGAAAGCGACAAACACCCATTGCAGACGATCCCAATATAGGACACTATTGCTTTTGCGTCAGCCTGAAGCATCAGCGATGAACTAGGTTTGTCAGTTAAAACTGAAACTCTTTATAGGCGATTGTTACAGATCAAAAAGTCCACGAAAGGTACCGCTACTAAAAAATAAACTCGTGGAAGTCCTCATACAATTTGCAAGACAGCATGCCTCCTGGCCCGTTGCTAAATGGTAAAATATATATGGTCAGACGAATATGAAATGTAATTATCTGGTAGTAAAATTTTTAGAAACTTTGTCCGGCGTCCCGAATCTATTCAATGAAATATGAATTATTTTAAGCTAGAGGTTTGAAATCATTTTACTTTACACTTTTAAGAATTTATCATACTACAAAGAATACTCCTTTTTTATGTGGAACTAGTTTTTCAGTTTATTTAGCATAAATTGAAATATATGGACAATGAAATATATGGACAATGAAATATTAATATATCATTAGTGAATATGTTGTACACACTTTTTGAGATGAAAAACTTTTTTCTTATTGAAATTCGTTTTGTTCATATGGTCATTAGCAATTTTCTATAGACAACTGTATGTATAAAATGTACATATTACATGATTTGTTTTTAGATAAATATTGATACCTTGACCATGTAAAAGCTCAGATAGTGTCTGTTGCACTCCCTCATATTGGATAAATTATTTGCGGGTGTGAGTATTAAAATTCTTGATAAAATTAATAGTCTACAAAGTCTTACTAAAATAGTGACAACAATTATCATATGCTAACTTCTCCACGAAAGACAACACAATTTTACATGTATTTAAAGGATAATTTTGGCAGATCCATCAAGTAGTCGTCTTTCCATAGAAACTGCGATATAGATACAATATTAACAAAATATCAAAACTCTTTTAAATATTTACCATGGTAAAATATATGAAAAACAAGATCGTGCTGTCAACAAAACCAGCTGTTTAGCCTTTAATGATTTGTTTTTATTTCTTAATATTTTTCAAATTAGATAATTGAATAATCAATGTCGATATGTTCCGATGTCAATAGCCAATATAGAATATTATACTGCAAAACACATTTGAAATCTTATTGAAATTAATCCTATGCGTATATGAATGACATTGAAAATATCTACACTTTTTCACTCTTCACTATTTTGCTTTTTGCACTGGAATACGGCGAATATTAAACTCAGCATTTTCTATATTCACACATATGCATCTGTGCGAAGAAATTTATATAAATGTACATATGCTAATTATTAGCAGATTTTGAGGTTTGCACGATTCACACCGACTAAGTTTAGCTGCAGTAATCCTTATGAAAGGCGATGTCACTCCAAAATTTTGTTCATCAATTTTACATAAACGGTTTTGCCAGACATTAGCACATTATAAAATTTTACACTGAAATCACCACAAATGGTGGCGCGCTGTACTTTCCACTACCCACTCGACGGCAAAGGAGGTGCGCACTGACAGCAGCAATACAAGGGAAAAAGTGAGAATGGAATGGAAATAGAACGCGACAAACAATTTTTTCACACCTCTAATGAGCAATTTTTGGCACTACTATATGAAGGGACAATAGCGGGTTGAGGGCACAATAGCGGGTTAAATTGTAAGTGACAATAATAAATGGGTAAACTTTATTCTCACAAATATGCATATTCTGGCTCGTAGCCAAAGCCGGTACTGGAAATTAACGCATTTACAAACTTTGTATGTAAATAACTTACAGCGTTTGTTATACACCAATGAGAATAATCTCTGTATGTATGCGCTTCGCCCTCCCTGCAGGTGAAGTCGCAGAAAAATCACCAATGCAGTTTGCTGCAAATTTTACAAATAATGTGAAAATTTCACTTCTCTTGACATCTGCCTTTAAAATTTCAACAATTTCATGAAAAACATACACAATATTATAACTTTAAACAAATTATAGTCTTTTCTACACAATATTGCGCCCGAATTTCAACAAAATTTCGCAGTTTTCTTCTTTATGAGTTTTTCTCGTTTCTTTCTTAAACTGGAATGCATCGCTTTTTCCACAACACCGAAATCCATCGATTTCTTTCCATTCTATTATGCTGTCTACGGATCTGCTGTCACTTAGATACAAAAACTGCACTATCGATCACGCAAAATACATACATACATATATAGAGACGAAAACGGTTTTTAAAAAAAGTAATTAGAAAAGTAAACTTATGAATTAGCAAGAATATTTTTTGGCATTTACAACGTATTTTCGTATTATTGACGGACATTTGCATTTGCTTTAAGTACATAATGGCGGAGAAAGCCAAATTGCAATAATATATTTTGATTTTGTTCACTCATTGTTCTTTTAATATGTCAACTGTTTACTTTGACAAAAACCATTTAAGCTAATTAGGTACCATTTTATAAGAAAATATAATTTTAAATCCAGCCAAATATGTTATATTAGTTTAAAAATGGGTTTTCAAAAATTTTCTCTATTCTATTATATATAAATAAATTTTTTCATAGTGAGTATGTTTCGTTTATTTCCTTTAATTAAGCAAACGGAACTGCCGAACTTCTGAATTCGCACTGCAATATCAACAATTGAATAAGGTTGGAAGCTTCTAGCAGCGCTGTGGAATTGTTAAGCCATTCTATAACTTAGACGGCTTTTATACACAGATTCTTTTGATCCTCGTTTTCGGCAAATTCTCTTTTGGTGTCGCTCTGTGCATTCACACGGTCAAAAAGAGTCCAGCAACTCGAGTCTAGTTTTTCTGCATTCCTTTTCACAAAATTTTCGTAAATATTTGTGCGGTTCGACTACGCAACACTTAGAGCGTGTTGCATATCTTATTTGTATGTTGGGATGGTGGTCCCACATTTTGCTTGCTATGAATTAGCATGAATGTGGTAGATCAATATGCATAATACCTACCCGCTTAATAGTTTCAAAGAAATACTTAAGGGAATTCCCTAATACACCAGAATGTATTGAATATCCGCTACTAATATTTTCAAGGCCAAATTTCTAACAGGAATTTCCTAATCTTTAATGATTAAAAATTCATAATTTCTTTACTCCATAATCTATATCTTAATTTTCTCCTTATTTACAATTTGTCATAATATTTCTTTTATTCTATGCATACATATTTGCATATACATACAAAAATAGATAACAGAATTCAAATTTGCGAACGAATTCATTTGAAACCGAGCGCTCTTGCAACCGTTCAAAGAATTTGAAAGTGAAAAGGAATGCTGAAAAGGGTAGCACCGAGCTGTTACGAACAAGAACACAAAGCGTGCCACCCGAACACGAGTGGCACGGTCCCTTCGTCTTTCCTCGTCGTCCCCTCGCCCTCAATAAACCGGTTTGGGTTACAAAAGAATCTGTGTGTAAAAGCAGAGTTACTGTCTATCAGTGATAAAAAAGTACGCACAATTGTAGATTTCTCCGCCCTTTCAACTCTAAGCTTCATTTCGCGCACAATCGACTACTTTTTGGCACTATTTGACGAAAGACGAAATTATGTACAATACATACACCTAATTCGGTTTTACACGGTTTGAAAATAAATTTTTATTATTAGCACAATTAAAAATTTTTTGGGCTTAAATTTTGTTTATCAGATTTAATTTTAGCGAAATGTGTTCATATCACAAGTTTTGAGCAATTCCCTCCTTGTGGATATAAGCAAGTTTACTGGTTAGAACACTTGTAAATAGCACAAATTTATGGGAACGATCAAAGTCTTTTTTACACGGTTTTTTCTGGTACCAATCTATCGTGTAAAAACAGAATATCTAAGATCTTATCATAGTATAAATTGCTAAAGAAATTAATTACGAGAGAGCATTATCTGCTTATTTAGAGATAAAATTATTTTAACAAGTTTCTGATTTAACAGAGATTGACCCAAAGTTAGTCACACTAAGAATGAAATTAATGAATATTTATATGCAAACGCTTTTGTATAGCACAGTTTGAAAATTATCAAATACCATCCCTGCTGCATATCCCACGTCAAAGCAAATTGTTTGAAATAAGTTAATTGTGAATGGAGTAAAGGGGGTCTCAGCGAAAGTTCAAAAGTATAAAAATAGTAGGATCAAAAGTGGTATCGAAATGTATGACATCTTCTTGGTAGATGTTTTCCTTCCTAATACGGTATGTACGCTGAAAAAAGTTGTGCAGCACGACAACATCCAGTTCTGTATTCAGTTAACAGTATTTTTTGATATTCATAAAAGTATAAACCAATATCACCTACAGCCATTACAATAACCTTGGGTGATTAAAAGGGAAAACAGGAGAAACTGCAGCTTTTATTGGAATTGTACAATTACAGTGGCGAAACTTGTGTTTAAAATGTATTCCTAGAGTCACAAAAATGAACAAAATTTTTAATTTGTTACATATTTTTTGTTTCCAAAATTATTTATGTTTAAGAAGACAAATATATATACACATACATATGTATCTACCATATATAAATATATATGTGAATGTATATACTCGTATATTTAGTAATAACAAAATGAATAATAACTCAATAAAAATCAATTCCTTTAGGTGCTGGCAAAACTTTTATTTACATTTTTATATTAAACATTTTTTAAACATTATTCGAAAAAATCGTAATTACAATCAAATTTGGTATTTTCTTGACTTATATTAAAGGCCATAAACTTAGTTTAATTGCTATATTTTACTTCGTGCCAGCTAAAATTATATTAAACACACCTTAAAATAAGATATAATATGTGTATGTGATACTAATTTGACCAAAGAGGCTACATTTAATATATTGTGTTGATGTTGAAAACGTCAACCAGAGGAGCGGTTAAAGCGCTTAACCATATAATTTTGAAGGAAATTTTTGTCCTAATTGTCTAAGGGAAGTTTTGACCTGAATCGGGTTTGACATACAGACATACTATTATCAGAAAAGGATCTTCTCTGAATTTCAATTACATATCCCACACATTGACCAATATTTTCGGAAAAAAGAAAAATAAATGTACTGAGGACCACATATTCGGTACCTAGGAGCTTAAACAGTTTTGGTTCGATTTAAAGAATTTTTGGTCATAAGGTGTTATATTATACTTTAAAGGCATTATTAATGCAAGGTTTTGTCCTGATACAATTATAATTGTGTTACATGGGAAGCAGGCATGGTTTTAGTCCGATTTCGCACTGTAAAATAGGTATATTAGAAGAACGTTACATACCTAATCTGGTTGAAATCGGTAGAGCGGTTTAGAAAATATGCACATTAAACCTATTAGAGGGCGGGACCACGCCCACTTTTTGAAAGAATTTTAAACTAGAAGTGTTCCCCCCTATTGTGATCGTTGAACTAAATAAAAATCTTGTATTCTACTGTGGATTGGCATTGCTCCGGTTACGCCAATTTGCAATACCAACCGTCTTCGGGCCCAGAAAGATGTGTATCAAGTTTCATCAGGATATCTCAATTTTTATTTAAGTTATAACTTGCACACACGGACGAACCGACGAACGGACGGACAGTCACCCGGATTTCAACTCTTCTCTTCATCCTGATCTTTTATATGTATGTACATAACTCTATATCTAACTCGATTAGTTTTAGGTGATACAAACAACCGTTAGATGAACAAAACTATTATACTCTTGCAACATGTTACAACATATTTCTCAGAATGAGAAAAAATACTGGAACTCAGAACTTTATTTTTACTGAACTATTGAATTCGAGCCAATTTCAGCGAGGAGTGAGTGAATGACAATTATCCCATTAGTTTTCATTGAGCCACCGCAAACCGGACGACACCCGCACAATTCTATTTATTGCTGTGATCATTTTGTGTATTGTTCTTTAAAAAAAACTGTCGAAAAGAGACAAATTAATAAGGATTTAAAAATGGGAACTATAAATTGTACATTATTTACTTTATACATTTTATGAATTTTTTTCCGTTTGTTAGAGCTAATTTCATCGAAATAAAGGTTGGCCGTTATTTCCCTTCGGCTTTTTTGCTTTTCATTCAATGCTTTATAAAAAGTGTTACAGTGATCGGATTTAGTTAAAATATGCGCCGTTTTGTTCGTAAACTTTTTGCCAACGAGATGCCAACTTCATTATACCCCTCTCGTAGAAGGCTGCGTCCCTATTGGCAAAAAACTCGGAGAGCCAATTTTTACAGGCCTCTCTTGAGGCCAACTTCTCACCATTAAGCGCGTTGGACAGGAAAAGATGGTAATCACTTGGTGTCAGGTCCGGGCTATATGGTGGATGCGATAAAACCTCCCATCCGAGCTCCCGTAGCTTCTGACGAGTCATCAACGAAGTGTGTGGTCTGGCGTTGTCCTGGTGGAACACTACACCCTTCCTGTTGGCCAATTCTGGACGCTTCTGGTCGATCGCCTGCTTCAAGCGGTCCAGTTGTTCGCAGTAGATGGTAGAATTAAGCGTCTGGCCATATGGGAGCAGCTCATAGTGGATAATTCCCTTCCAATCCCACCAAACACACAGCAAAACCTTCCTGGCCGTCAATCCCGGCTTGGCCACTGTTTGGGACGATTCACCGGCCTTCGACCACGACCGTTTTCGCTTGATATTGTCGTATGTGATCCATTTTTCGTCGCCAGTCACCATCCGCTTCAAGAATGGGACGAGTTCGTTCCGTTTCAGCAGCATATCGCAGGAGTTGATTCGGTCCAGAAGGTTTTTTTGCCAAACATCAAACTTTTTTTTGTATCCAGCCTTCTGCAGATGGTTC